CAAATACATTTCCCCAGTTCGGCAGCTACAATCTACTGACCACCGACCACCTCCTGGCTCATTAACTACAAAGAAGCCACAGACTTAAGGGCTCTCCCTGTGTGGCCGCCATTCGTATAACCGAACAACACCTGCTAGAGAAAATAGTGGCCATCTTGTGGCACGAACGCAGGCAGCGGGACTTGGTCGTCGAGTGTCTTGAGCTATAAGTCGGACAATCGACCTCGTGAACACTGGTAAATTCACATGAACGCTTGCTTCTTTCCATGTCAAGCCAGGAAAGCCAGGAGAGTGCTGTTAGAAAGGATTGTTTGCACGAACTAGGTGACCAATCGCTACCTATGAGCCAGGGGAACTCCCGAAAGTGACCGACCACTACCACTATTTCTCTGGAACTAATTTGGGCAGACACCACGTGTGCGGTCGGTCAAAACTTTACCCCTGTGGTGAATCGGCTGTGTTCGTGGGATCTGAGCGCTATTTGGATAACTTGGGTGCTCAGATCCAGGCTATCCGCGGATATAATATTTGTGGGGGTTCCTACATGTGTTTTGTATGTTTTGTATGTATGTATTTTTAAATATTTTATGTTTTATATTTTGTAACTCTAGTGCCTGGAAGGTAATTAGTTTAAGCAAAGTATTATTATCAAATAATACCGCACTCAAGCTTTAAGAATTTTTTTTCAATGCTTTCCTATAGAGAGGTCTAATGCACGTGGCATTGCTGCGCATGCGCATTAGGTCTCCCCTGCCGGCGGCTGCGCATGCGCGATTGGTCTCCCCCGCCGGATGATGTCGGCAGGGGAGGAGCGTGGGCGGACCCGAAACCACCGCCAAGGGACACTTCAGCAACATGGGATGGGTGGTGGGAGGGGAGGGGACTTGCAGTGCCAGAAAAACGATTTGTTTTCCTGGCACTGGAGTGTCCCTTTAATCTGGTTAAATTCTCTAGAATTTGAAGAAGCAAATGTTTTTTTCTTCCTGCAATTCAACATATGACCACTGGGTGCATTACAAAAATTACACTTTTTCCTATTTATGTCAAGCAGCATACAGCGTTGGTCTGATTTGGTGACCAAATCACGTTTTTGGTGCCAAAATTCTTCCAAGCTGAAATGATATATAGCCAAAATCTGGGCATCTCAAAAAATAGTTCGGCCGAGCCAAGTGTAGTTTGGTTTAATTACCAATATGAATACCGCATTCTCCTGGATCCCAGGGTGCAACCGGGCCTGAGGTTGGCCAATCCTCACAATGTGATTTGCTAAAAAGTAGTGATGGTCCAGATGCTCAAGTTCAATCCAGTGGGCAGATTTATTAAAGCAAAGTAGAAATAACATTTCGGCCCACAACAGGGTCTTTGTCAAAGGCCCTGTTGTGAACACAGGCCCTGTTGTGGGCTGAAACGTTTCTACTTTGTTCCAATAAATCTGCCCACTGGATTGAACTTGAGTGCCTGGACCATCATTACTTTTTTGATTATAGTTTGGTGTCATGTTCTTAGACCATTGTATCAATTCTAAGCCAACACTTGCCAGCCAACTATGATGGCACTTAACCCCTAACTTCAACTCGAGGTGTGACATTTAGCCACCAATGATGGAGACTATTTTAATCTATATTCCTGTTACAGATTCAAACAGTGCATACTGTTGCTAAGCGGTGACGTACATTGTATCTATGCTTACTTTTCTGTTCTATTTTCTGAAATACTTAACCATTAATCCACAATATCGCTTTATCTAGCCACGAGAGGTCCGAGCAGGTGACTGCTCTTTTCCGACTGCTTATCAGTCCAGGTTATGTCGCTTGTTCAGTCAACCTGATCTTTTTATCCATGATTTGTTATTCGGGCACTTTCCAATCTGCAATAAACAGCATCTCTTGTTTCTACAGCCTCACTTCCCCTGTGCTCTCATTATTCACTTTTAAATAAAAATATTTGTACCTTTTTGTAGCAGATCACTGTGATTGCCATCCAGATAAGGATTAAACTATACTAAAAGTATAATAAATGCAATAGATTACTCATAACGCTGTGACTGCAAAGAGAGGTCATGTATTTTTTACTGTTGTTAGTTTTCAATAAATCTATTCTTTGTCGTTGAGAGTTAATGTTGGTATTTAAATCAGAAAGTGAGTATTTAAAGGGGCATTTTAGTCACCAGAAAAACTACAGCACAATAGAAAAGGCAATATTTACATTGCCCCCTAGGAACACCTCCAGTGGCCACTCCTCAAATGGCCACAAGAGGTTCATTCCTGGGGCAGTGTTGCACAGTGTGCAGCACTGCCGTTTAGAGTCTCCAAGCTCTGCATGGAGATGCTGAACTTTCCTCATGATTCAATGCATTTCTATAGTGAAGTGCTGATTGGCCAAGCTGGTGTTTGGCTCTGCCCCGTCCCACCTCCTTATTGATTTCAGCCAATCCAATGCTTTCCCAATGGGAAAACAGTGGATTGGCTGAAATCATAAATTCTGATGAACTCTGAACTTTGTGGTTTCCATTAAAATACAATTTAGAAAATGGGATATGCAAGCTACACTTACTTATGAAAAGTGGAAATAAATATTAAAAAATTTTTGTCAATAGGAGAGTACATAGGGTGTGGGCAGCACCGGGTGATACCATCAGAGAGGGTAACAGTGATTAGCCATGCAGAGGGTCCTTTCATTGGCTGATAAAGGAGACTTTTATGTGTCTAAAATGCAGAGGAATACCCCAGTTTAATTTGGTGAGTCAGTGTGAGACAAGCAGTTTATTCATGGAATATCTGGCATCCCACTAGCCTTGCATGGCAGGCTGTGAGAGCTTTACAGGTGATGGAAGGGTCGAGATTAGAAGTTACGCATGGCAGTGAGGAGTCTGCAGCGATGTATGGTGGTAGCTCAGTCTGAGCTCCTTTCCTTCTCATATCACACGCATGGCCGACTCACCAGGACCCAGCTACCTCTGGCAGCAGCTTGAGTGACACCATATTGACAAACAATCACACACACAAACAGTCACATAGAAATTTTGGCACACACAAAGACAGTCTCACATATACATAGAAACACAATCACAGACAGACACACATATATATTTAGACAGATGTCAAAACATAGTTACATACATACATAGAAACACAATCAAACACATACACAAAAACACAGACAGACACAAAGTACACTCATGAACAGGACATGATACTAAATGATATGTTACAGAAGTTGTCAATTGTTAGGCAGTTGTCTTTATTAATCCTGAGATTTCCCTGTTGGCCAGTCTTTTGTTTCCTGTTTAATTTACTGCTATTTATATAATTATTTCAAGTTAACATTCACTAAGGTCATAGGACAGCATGCAATAAATTTGGATAGAGACAGTAGATGCTGAGGGCTTTTTCTAGAGGATTACCGGTAATTAGTTTATGTATGGTTCCTTTTATATCTATCTATTTGTCTATTTTAATGATATAAATAGGGGATTGTTTACTATGGTCTGATTTTGCTGCTGACAATAAACAGAAATAATAAGACAATGTGCAATTTAGGCATTTGCTTAAGGCAATTTCGATACACGTTCAGAGATTAACAATAAGGCCAGAACTCCATATTTGCATGGAACACTTATGAATTCTGCATTCTATTGTACTAGAAGTGCTGTCCAACAGTATGTGAAATCCATGTTCTCTTGAAATCTATTTCCCCCCATTATTACTGCCTAAATTAGAGGTTGAATCTGTAAGCATTTAAATTGCTGTTTAGTGAGTGAGTGCTCTGAATCTTGTGTGTTGTATGAATTGGCCTCAGCAGCACCCTTCTATGTATGTTCAGGTGAGTGCAGCCCACTGGCTTTCATTTATATATATTTGGGAGGGAGTCTAGGCCAACACTCTGGTTTTGCACCCTTCCCTGTCACAGTTACCTCATTTCAAGGCCCTATTTAAGCTTGTACTGCAGAGACTAACTAAATCCCCATTATTTGTGTCTAGATAAGGTGTTTTTAAAAACGATTAAATTCTGTAAGCTTTGAAGCTGCTGTTTAGTGAATGAATGAGTGCGCTGGATCTTGTGTGTTAAAATCTATTGAACTATCATAGCGCATCCTTTTAAATAAGGCTCTCGACTTGTTTATTTGACTCCCACTGAGAGCCACAGGACCGAAGATAGAAACACTAATGCAGACCGATTCCTATGTAGTAAGACAGACACTTGGAAACCACTCGTTCCTGCAAATACTGACAAATAAGTACCACTGGACAATATTGTATTATCTGACAATAATATAGATCTGTCTATTGTCCATCTTACCGGAAGTATTCCACATCCCCTGCTATATTTACCAACATCACAAGCCACAAATATTATAACTCAAAGTACAATAACTTTTCGAGAGAAACTTCTTCTTACAGTGTTAGAGTGTGATAAAATCAATACTATTTATTCAGTAGTGATATTTTCCCTTTAAGAGGACATGTGCCACCCACTCTTCTAATTTCTGATTGCTGTGTAATTATCTTAAGTGATGGTTTTGCTTTTGAAATGGACGATATATTATAGGTTGTAAGTAGCAATCTATACCATTGTCAGTTGTCTCTACTTCAACATTCAGTTGAATTAAATTATTTCTTGTTACTTCTATGTTTATGTAATAAGCTCTAATTTCCACAGTTAGTTGTTCATGGACAGTTCCAGCTATGGCTACACATCTACCATGAATCATTCATACTGTTAGAATACTGGATGACTTAACTCAGAGGTACCAAACGATGATCTGCTGGTAATGTTGGACTAATACCATCATAATCATCTGCAATCAGTTGAAAAGCATTGCTTAAAGAAATTCAATAAAGAGGTAAGTAAGCTCAAGAAGAAATCAAGATCAACAAAAGTTTCCACATACGGATCTCATAATTGGGAAACCCTTGCAAAAGAGACAGAACACCCGGGTACGCTGGTCTCGAGATATCAGAGACTTACTGCTCTGGCGAGCACCATGTGCAGCATCCAAGATGGCTGAAACAGCCATGGAGACTTCCTCCGATGAGGAGCCTTCCCTAGATACCCTTAATGAGCTGCCTCAGAGAAGAGGTTTGCACCACACTTCCTCAGATGAAGATGATACGCCGTCTACCAAACGGCACATTAAGTCACTGCTAAAGGACATTTGTTCCCTATTCCAAGCAGACCTGGCGATAGTTCGGGAAGACGCGCACTCCCTTACAGGCAGAGTCAAGCTGACAGAAGAGGAGGTCACAGCCTTACAAACCAAACAGACCGCTATGCAAGAGACCCCGGACAAAACTATCCAGGCCCAGGAAGGCATGGCAGGGAAACTGGCGGACAAGGAGGACAAAAACCGACGCAATAACATCAAGCTCAGGGGAATGCCAGAAAACGTGGCCATGGCGAAGTTACTCCAATATCTGCTCCACTTGTTTCACCACCTGCTCCCACCAAAGCGAGCGAAGGCCATCATACTAAATGGCTGCTACCACATACCCAAACCACCAAATGGCCAGAAATCCTCCACAAGGGACCTCATAGTCCAATTAGTTTCCTCTTTGGATAAAATGGCAGTTCTGGTTCCGGTTTCGGGACTTATCAGCATGCAAATTTAAATTGCACACGCTCACTTTTTACTCTGACCTGTCTCAGGCCACTGTGCTATGGAGACGCTCCATGCACTCTGTCACCAGCATCCTACAGAGAAACAGAATCCCCTACAGATGGGGTAATCCCCGCTCACTTCAAGTCACCAAAGATTGAATGCTGCACCGTATCACCGATGCTGCTGAATCCCAGACCTTCCTGCAAGCTCTGGGCCCCTCCTCAATGGAGCACCAGAAACGGACCCCCGCAGGTACATTACTCGGATATGGAGAAGATACAACCCTTCACCCCGAACAATGACCGACGCGACAAGGAGCTATAACTGTCCTGAACAGATAAAACTGTACATCTGTACATATTTTCTTTGACTTTTACATGTGTTTAATTTCTTTTTATCATAATAGCCGTTTCCCACGTGGGCCCTGTTCTTTACCTTCTAGGCAGTGCTCTACAAGAATTGTACACTCAGATGAACGATGCATAGGAAAGGTTACCAAAGGCTTAAATTTCATTACATTTTCTTTTATTTAATTGTCAATGTATATATTTAGTGTGTACACATTGCAATTGTTGGGGATACCCACCCACCAGAGATAAGGCAATATACAACCCTCGTGGTGGACACCTCCATGATTGCATCACCAAAGCATATGCAGGCCCTAATACCCAGGCTCCCACTGTAATCCCCTCCCCCCCCCCCATCTAAGTGGCAGTTTACCCCTAATGCTACTATGAGAGCCAAATCATTAAAGCAGGATACACAGCTCTAAGCAGTTGTTTCGCTACCGTACTTAGCCAGGCCCCAACGAGCTGCATTATATTACATTGAAGGCTTTAGATAGGACTAGCACAAGTCTATTCCTACATACTACCTATGATATGCTCAAGCATGTGCAACACACTCTTACTTATCTACTAATTGTTATCACTACAGAAGTGTTAAAGCCAGAAATATGAACGCTGATAGCCAAAGTATTTGCTTACAAATGTCTGCCGATAGCGGCACTGTTTATGTTTTTAACCCCAGTCTTTACCCCCATCTTTGAGACAGAGACAAGAACTGGTTAATCTCATTGCTCCGAGGTAACACTGCCTTCTAACCAGCATATAATAATCCGCAAATCTCCTAAAGAACTGCACTATGGTCCCGGTGGACTCTCTCAGTTTGGCAAATCCCATATAGGATAAGCATGTTAATATATTGTACTTAATTTTTAGCGCCATGTCTTACAGCAGTATTGGCATCCATAGCATGTTACACCCACTGTCTATGTCTCCCTCCCTACAGAAGTATTACATGTTTACAATGTTTAAATTGCCTACTGACTTGTTTTCTTCCTTATCATAATCAAAAAAGTTCAATGCCCTGACATTTCTTGCTATTACCGTACCAGCGTACTGTCAATTATATCCAACAAATGTCTTTCTATTTCCACCTGTCAAGCCATGCATTATCAAAAATAAAGAATTAAAAAAAAAATGAAAATAAAGATTGCAGGGTTGCTTTCTGAGGTAAACTTCCAGTTCAGCATAGGCATTTACTTACAGTTGTGCTTGGTAATATATGTACCGTAAAACACATTTCTTTTATTTCTTATGGGATTCATATTCAACTGTAGGTTATAACAGAATGGCACACTCTTAAAACATGACAATAAAGAAAAAAAAATGATATGACCCCTGTTCAAAAGTCTGCATACCCTTAGTGCTTAATACTGTGTATTGCCCCTGTTAGTGTCAATGACAGTGTGCAGTATTTTGTAATAGTTGTGTATGTGGCCCCTAATTCTTGCAGGTGGTATAGCTAACATTCGTCTTGGCAAAATGCCTCCAGGTCATGCAAAATCTTTGGTCGTCTTGCATGAACCGCACGTTTGAGATCTCCTCAGAGTGGCTCAATGATGTAAAGGTCAGGAGGGATGGCCACTCCAGAACCTTCACTGTTTTCTGCTGTAACCACTGGAGGATCAACTTGGACTTGTGTTTAGGGACATTGTCATGCTGGAAAGTCAAAGGTGTTGTTGGGCATATTGTAACCAGGTTTTTTCTGTGGCATTGGCGGAGTAAAGGTTTCTTTCTGGCAACTCGACCATGAAGCTGATTTTTGTATCCCGAACAATTCTTCAGGCAGTTGTGGCTGAAAATTTTCTTGGTCTACCTGCCCTTGACTTGGTATCAAGAGATCCCCACATTTTCCACTTTTTAATGAGTGATTGAACAATACCGACTGGCATTTTCAAGGCTTTGGATAGCTTTTTATATCCTGATTCATCTTTATAAAGATTCCATTAACTTGTTACGCAGGTCTTTTGACAGTTCTGTTCTGCTCCCCATGACTCAGTATCTAGCCTGCTCAGTGCAGCCACGTGAAAGTTAACATGCTCATTGACTATTTATACACAGACACTAATTGCAATTTTAAAAGCCACAGGTGTGGGAAATTAACCTTTAATTGCAATTTGAACCTGCGTGTGTCACCATACCCTATTCAAGGGTATGTAAACTTTTGATCTGGGCCATTTGCGAGATTTCTGTTATCATTATGATTTAAAAAGAAGCCAAACAACTATGTGATAATAAATGCTTTCATATGATCAATATCATTCAATAAAATAAATTTTTTTTTTTGCATGATCAGTCATATTTTCTAAATCAGTGCCAAGATTTCACAATTTCTGCCAGGATATGCAAACTTTTGAGCACAACTGTAAATAACCATAAACAATACTGCTATATCAGCATTGAATGCCTCCTTTAACAGTACTCAAAATAAAATTACCAACAAAAAAATTTCTAGGTTATTCAGTAAACTGGGAATTGTCAGGACCATGGGCAAAACAGCTGAAGGGCAAACCACTTCCTTATTAACCACTGGAGGTTATAGTAGTGGAGAACTATAGTAGTGATCTGTTTTTTATATCATTTTAGTAGAATTTAAATTAATTTAAAAGGGGGTGGGGCCTGGACACCATGTTAGCAGGCTGCATGCAAAAGGGGCTTCTGTACAAAGAGGCCTATTTTGCAGATAACAGCCAAAACATTAACCATCCAGAGACAGATGATCTTGATATATTTGACAAACAACTGCAGGAGCTGGGTATACACCCGAAATAAGGTTATTTTGGAGCTCTTTAGAGGAAGAGCTGTTATTCCTGTGACTGAGGCCTACTTGGACAGTGAGTGGGGTGGACTGCTGCCGCCCTGCTCCAGGGGAATCACATAGGCTCTACAACACTACATTTTGCTGGCCCTGTTACCTCCCCCTTTGGACCTGGGGGTTATCCTGGTCCCCACAGGGAAGCTGCCGCACTTACCTGCATCTGCAATGGAAAATATCTGTACACAGAGGCACTTAGGCCTGCTTTACAAGATGGCGGTGCGACAACATGTAGCTGACTCAGCCCCGCAACTAGCCGTTGACTTCACTAAATACGACCGGCTGTTCAAACGATTCTGGGAGATGTTGCATCAGCGAGCAAAGGCACACTTACCTCTCTACCATCAAAAAAGACCGGCACTCTCGGAACACCAGGCTGGAAAAAGGTCCCAGACTTCGTTAATGTCTGGGACAGTGGAGCTGGAGTGCAGGTTCCTGTGAAGGCCAGGGGCTGGCGTGATGTGGTTCTGGGGTTCTCATGGGGCTCCTGTGAACAGATCAACACCTATGTGCCATTGCTTAGCCAAGGGATAGGCTGATCTATAATCGCCATGTTGCTGCCCGTCTGACAGGCTCTCTATATATGCACCTGTTTAATATACCCTCTTTTTTTCTTTGTGCCTGTCTGTACATAATGCCACTGATTCACAGTCAAATTACTTCTATGTTAACTTATTGAGATGCGGGGCCCCCTGGTGTCTTATAAATACTTAGTCGTGTTAATCGTTACTCTAATATGCCTACATTTATCTATGCTTTTTCAAGCTGGATAATACAATTGTCTTTTATAATACCATCAGTTAACGTTAACGTTGGCTGACAAGCCTGACTAATCAGCTACATGTCTTACACCCTGTTTATTTTATCATTAGAATGCATATCTTGAGTTTAATTTGTACCTAGACATGTATGCCCAGCATGAATCCTCTTATTCTTACTTTCAAATCGTGCAGTTTAGCATGTCTTTAAAGGGACAATGTAGGCACCCAGGGCACTTCAGCTAAATGAAGTAGTCTGGGTGCTGTGACACTTTGGCACTTAGTACTGTAATGTTTACATTACAGCTCTAAGTCTGCCCTCTATGGCTGTCTAACAGACAGCCACTGGGGGCGCTTCCGGAACCCAAACTCACTTTTGGTCCGTTATCTGATGCTGGACATCCTCATGGACCTCCAGCGTCAGATTATCCCCATAGGAAAGCATTGAAAAATGCTTTCCTATGGCGTGGTCTAATGCGCATGGCTATTGACGCTCATGCGCATTAGGTCTCCCCCACCGGCTGAAGGAGCGTGGGCGGAGCCTGACCCTGCACCTAGGGACATCGGTGCTGGATTCAGGTAAGTGGCTGAAGGGGTTTTAACCCCTTCAGCCCCGTGGGAAGGGGGCACTCCAGGTGCCTATAGTGCCAGGAAAACGGGCTAGTTTTCCTGGCACTATAGGATTTATTTAAGCTTAAGCCTGGGCACACCCTAATCCCCATGGCACGCCTATGGATTGAGACCGGCAGGGGAGATCTCAGGATCTCCCCTGTCAGCTGATGCAGAGCCGGCGCTATCCGAGCGTTGGCTCTGCTCTAAGCCTCCATGGGCTGGTGGGGAGATCAAAGCTCTCCCTCACCGACTCACAACAGCATGGAGGCAGGCAGGAGAGGACCCAGGGAGCTCTAGCCAGCAGCTCCGCCGGGTTCCTCTCGCGAGATCTGAGCATTGCCGCGGGGGAGACCTATTGAGCAAGCGTGGTCGGCGGTGGGGGAGACCTAATGCCTTAGACCTCCCCATAGGAAAGCATTGAATAATGCTTTCAATGATTTCCTGTGGGGATTTCGGCGACGTTTATGAAAACTGCAATAAT